GGAGCAGGATACAGAGTCATTCTAGGCTCCTTTCTTCTGACTGAACTTTTTTTTTTTTTTTTTGGACCATCTGTTCTGCATATCAAATTCATAAGAGAAAAATCCGTTCAGTTTTAGAATTTAAAATCACTTTATCTCCCTCTTCTCTTTTCTTAGTCTTCTTGTTAGTTCTAATTTTAAAGATATATTTGATATTAACAGTCGGAGACTATGTTGAAGTGAGGAGTTGTGCAGCCAGTTAGGGAGACTGTATACACTTAAAGTTTAAGGATACACCTTCAGACCTGAGTCCTTTAGTGCTCATTCCGCTTTGGCTTGCTGCAGCAGTAGCAGAGGCAGCATGATGGGGGCGGTTCACAAAACCCCACACAGAGGTCCCCTGAGACTCACCATCTCAGATCCCGGTGGGAGGCAGGGACATGTGTGCAGATGTATGTGAAGCCAGCTAAGAAGCATCAACTACCTGCCTAATGGTTTACTAGGGCTAAAGGTCCAGGTTAGGCCGTACAAATATGAATCCACCATCTCTTCCCAAGGGCTCAACTTATGTCAGCTTGGATTTTCTGAGGCATTTAACAAGTGGCATAAGAGAAAAGTCACATGGAGAAATAAATCAGAGCTCCACTGGTGATGGTGGCTGCTGCTGCCCAGAAAGGAAGAGGGGCACAAAAGAAAAAGAGGTTTAAGCTGTGCAGAGGGGAAAGGACAGTGTCACAGAGCCTAAAATATCTTTTTATGCACCTGCAGCATTGGGGCATAAAAGAGACGACTGCTGGATGACCCATCCCAAGCCTCGGGAAGATTTGCTATGCTCCACGCCAAGATCCCCAGCCCCACGGAATGGCAGATTAATTGTGAGGCCACTCCTTTCTCTTGCTATTTTTTGGTGAAGGAGTGAATTTGTTTTTCCGAAGAGATGATCAGGACTGACTCAGACTGCCTGGTATTTGAATGATACTGGGAAGCTGGCCTCTGTAGAAGCTAACTATAGTCATTAACACAGTGAAGGTATTTTTTTTGATACTGCTTCTAGCATGCATTCAGAAACATTACCATACCACCAAAATACTTAAATAGAACAATTTTCTCAGAGTGGACTTTTGGACGACAGCAGCTGGAACCAACCAAAACCTATTACAGACTCACTTAACAGGTACAATTCCTGTCCTCCAGTTCACCATCACTGTCCTCAGCTAAGTGGACCTGGATACTGACTTATTCCTCAGTCCTTATTCCTTCAGTCTGTGTCTATCAGAAAAGAGGGTGAGACTGCTGGGGTCTCCTCTGCATGATTTTCCTTCTGGAAAAGTGCAGTGTCTTTTCGTGCATATCACATACTACATGCTTTTCAAGACAGGGAATGATCACTGCTGTCATCTGACAGACAATGATGTAGACTAGTTGTGCAAGTGCACATCACTGTTACACACACAAGGCCACACTTTTGTACCACAAAAAATAAAACACAAGCCATGTATAGCGCAGGCAGACACCATGGCTAATCCCAGCTGTTGGGTATTGATGGCACCTGGCCACAAGCTTCTTTATTTTATGTGAAGGATCAGGCTGGTCCAAGAATGGTGAAGTCACATATAAGCTGGAAAATTATCTTTCCCTTTCCCAGTTTTATACAGAGCACTGCTGTGACAGCATAAATGTGGATGAGCTGCCAGCGAGCTGATCTAGATTTCTCTTTCACTACCACTGAGAATATTCCTTCTGTAATCTCATTCATTTCTGATAAACTTCTTTTTCCAAAAGTGTATAGGCTCCAGCTGAACAATACTTTTGTACTAGTTCTTGATATTGCAAGGGCAAAAAAATGTTGCCCTGATTTCTTACAAATAATTTTTTCTCACCGTCTACAAGAAAGCAAAAGATAAATACAGCACAACAGTCCTAGTCAAAGGCCGTATTTGCATAAAATTAAATGAGCTTTTTAACAGCCATCAGACATAATACTGGTTTTGAAAACAATTACGCCGTAGGGTTGGGATCCTTCAAATTCCTGCTCAGATGAAGAAAAACTGAGATGGTCCAGTGGGAAAAGCAAAGATACAACTAATCTTGGGTCCTGATAAAACTTTCTGTGCAGGTCAACAGTTCTGTTCTTCTTGCCATATATTGCCCCCTTATGGACAACAGGTGACCAGAAACAGCAACAAAACGGATTCTTGAAAAAAACCACCACTATTATTTATAAATTATTTATTGGAAAATACGTGTTTCTTATCTCCAAAATACCCAGATGGAAGATGGATTACTGTAAGAAGTAGGAAGTGGAGGCCAGGAGAGTTGTTGTGAGTACAGTGCTATTCCAGAGCAACTTCAATGGCTTGGATGCTGGAACAGGAGCCTGTGCAAGAGCCTGGTGACAGTCACAGTGACACAAGGCTGTTGGAAGACAGAAGCAGAGCCCGAAATGACCATTGCAATAGGAAGAGCGTGAAAATCCTGAAGAGCAAATACTCTGAACTTAGGTAAGAATATACAGTTACACCATGCATAGAGTGGTAACAATTTGTTTTGCAGCTGTTTTTGAGGAATGGGTCTGTAGGTTTTTTCAGTGGATGATAAGCTGAACAGCCTTGTGCTATTGGACAAAAGGCAAACATTTTATGGGAGTAGATAAACATAAGTTATACTTAAGGAAAAAACTCTTCCTGACTCCGTACTAGATTGCCTACATTTCTTGTATTAGGCAGTAGATCAGTTGGAGAACATACAGAGAAGGAAAAGTTACTTTCAGAGGTGTGGAAAATATAACTTCTGAGAAAACAGAATAAAAATTGTATTTAAGCAAAGAAAAGATTGAGCAGAGACACAATAATGTAAAAAAGTATCTGCAAACTGGAAGAAAATATATCTTTTTGCATGTCACTTGTGAGAAAGGTCACTGCTTCTATCATAGCAAGGAACATTTACATTTGGCACAAGGAAAAAGTCTGGAGCCACATGGAACATCAAGTACCAGATTGCTTGTCGGAGAGGTTACAGAATTTAAAATCTTATTGGACAAAAGAACCTCCTGGAGCAAAGTGATGATGAATTCTGCACACCAGCCTTCAAGACTGTGGGCCTAAAAATAGCTCTGAAATGTTACCACAGAGACCATAGAAGATGCTGGTTAACAATGCCTTAACATTTGTAGAAGGAACTCCAAGCCAACTTCTTAGTATTTACTGAAAGGACCCTAAGAAGTGGCAGAACAATGTAAATCACACATCAGAATGGATCTATTAAAGAATAATGAAAATGACAGAAAAACTGAGAAGTGTGAGATAAGTTAGTTAGGATGCTATCAGAGATTTAGAGGCAGTTTTTAACACAGAGAACATTTGAAACACAGCTGAGAAGCACTTTTTTTCCCTTTTGTCTCCTTTTTGTAGACAGTGTCTTGTTTTCATGGCAGGGGAAGATGCACTAGGAGGGGAAGAGAAAGAGCACGTATTCTTTGCCCTCCAGAAAAGGTGCAAAGTATCAATGGGAGCCCAGCTTCAGGCAGTACTGATAACCCAGGACAAGCATCTCTTTGCCAGTCATCCTGCAGCTGGAGCATACTCTGAATGGACTGTGTCAGGCATCTCTGGAAGGCTTACTTACAGATTTGCAACAGGAGTCCTGCTGTCAGAACCCAGGCAGTAATAACCTCATTGAGGAAAGAAGTAAGCCTTCTTTATGTCCCCAGAGCACCAGGTGAGTCTGCAAGGCAGTGGCCGGCTCTTGGATGTGCTTGGTTGAGATAGTGACACAGAATCGTGGTGTGAGGAAGGAAGCCATTGGTATCTTCTTGGAGATGAATGTGCTGAGAGCCACTCGCTTTACAGTTTCAGCTCTCCTCCTCCCTCCTGGATGAAAGTCACAGCAACCAACTCCTGGGCTGCAAGGATTTGCTTTCTCCTGAAGAAGCTCTTGGTTGCTAAGCAGTAACTATGTGGGCATTAGACCTCCACAAAATCTTGGGGATCTGCCTCACCAGAATGTCATGGTGAAGCTCAAACATCCCACTGAGATGTGATTACATGCAAAGTTTCCATTATATAGTGCTAATTTTACTGCAACAGCTTAAATTTTTTTTTTTTTGAAGGGGTTAGAGAAGAGACTTTTGTTGACAGCTTGGGCAGGTGGATTCAGCATGGTGATCAATAGTATGAAATCTAGTTGGAAGCCAGCAACTAGTGGTGTACACCAGGGCTCAGTACTGGGTTCAATATTTTTCAACATCTTTATTAATGAATTAGATGATGAGGCAGGGTGTACCCTCAGCAAGTTTGCTGATGACACAAAAGTGGGAGGAGTGGCTGATATGCTCGAGGTCAGGCTGCCATCCAGAGGGACCTTGACAGGCTGGAGATATGAGATGAAAGGAACATCATCAAGTTCAACAAGGGGAGTTGCAAAGTCCTGCTCCTGGGGAGAACAAGCATCAGTATAAGCTGGGCACTGACAGACTAAGAAGCAGAAAAGGAGCTGGGGGTTCTGGGGGTCCGTCAGGACTGTGGACCTCCGCCTGGAGCGCAGCCTTTGTGCCGAGCCTTGGCTGGCAGGGGTGCTGTGGGTCCCGCACGGCAGCTGTGCCGTGGCTGTGGGCACCAGTGAAGATTCCCAGCCAGTTCCTCTGTCCTCCCTGACCACCTCCTTCAGGTACCCTGTGCTAGCTCGAGTTGTGCCGGTTGTCTGGGGAGAGCGGAGGGGTGGGGGGTCTCGGACGGTGGGCAGTGTCCCTGGGGGGAGCCGAGGGGGGCACGCAGGTGGGGAGGGCAGCCCTTGGAGCTGGCTGTCCCCCGGGGCTGCTTTTGCTGCCACTTTTCAGCCGGCAAGGAGACCCTCTGGGAGGCCCTTGCCTCCCCTCTCCCACCGCTTTCTGGTGCTTTCTTTGTTTTTCTGTTCCTAGCACCTGGAAAGTTCTGAACATGTCTCTTGGCAGGACATGGCATCGGGAGCTGAGGAGGCTCTGGAGCAGAGTGCCTCTGCTGCGG